TACTCGCTCAGCTCGACAAGCCACCCAATAAGTCGACCCGAGAGTTCGAGCCTCTGCAGTATCTTCCTTAACGGTAGATCTGTATACATAACAATTTTGTGTGACTGAAAGTAAGCTCTTAACTTGCGAGCCGTGTAAACAAGGGCAAAAACAGCTTTTTCTGCTAATGGGTAGTTGTGCTCTGCGCCCTGTAAAACCTTGCTCATGTAGCAGATGGGCTTTTGATGTTTATTCTGTTCTCTTAGCAAAACCGACCTCACGACCTCCTTTGTAACCCCCAAATATAGGTATAAACTTTCCCCCAAATACAAGTATAAACATTCCCCCTCCACAAGCTTGGAAAGCAGGGGTGCTGATGCCAGATATTGTTTGAGCTCGTCGAACGACTGCTGACATTCGTCGGTCCACTGAAAATTCTTGGGCTCTCTCAAGGCTTTAAAGAATGGGAGGCATCTTTCTGCCGACCTGGCTATGAACCTGTGCAACGCGACAACACGACCTGTCAAACGCTGCACATCATTTATGGTCTTAGGAGGCTCCATCTGCTGAACGGCTTGAACCTTCTTTGGATTTACCTCAATTCCCTTCTTGGATACCACGTACCCTAGGAATTTTCCTGATTATATAGCAAACATACATTTTAGGGGATTCAGCTTCATTTGGGCTCGGCACAAGTTCTGAAATGTTTCATTTAGGTCGTCTATATTATCTTCAGCTCGCTTACTGGTAACTGTCATGTCGTCCACATATACTTCAATGTTCTTGCCGATCTAGAGCTTAAAAACGACCTGCACCAGCTTCTGATATGTCGCACCAGCATTTTTCAAGCCAAATGTCATCATGACATAGCAGTAGATTGCATCACCAACATAGAAAGCCGTTTTCTCCTGATCATCCAACAGCAACTGAACCTGGTAATAACCCGAGCTGGCATCAAGGAAACTCATGCGTTCGTGTCCGACTGCTCGTTCTACCAATTTCTCCACATTTAGCAAGGGGTGAGGGTCTTTTGGACACGCCTCATTTAAGTTGGTAAAATCAATACATATTCTCCACTTGCCATTTGGTTTCTTGACAAGCACAGGGTTAGACACCCACTTAGAGTATTCAACTTTCTTGATGAAGCCTACTTGTAGTAGCTTTTGTATTTTTTCATCTATAGCAGCTTGCTTCTTAGGACCAAAAAGGTGACGTTTCTAAACCACCAGCCTTCTGATGGGGATCGTGCTGCGCCTATGGACTGCCAACTCTGTTGGAATGCTAGGCATTTCATTCGTTGTCCACGTAAACACATCTTGATTAACCTTTAACAACTCCAGAGGCTCTGCTCGTTCTTCCGCTGTGAGCTTTGTGCCAACCTTAACTATTCTTTCTGGCATGTCAGGGTTCAAAGGGACTGTTTCCACTGGTTCTGTTGGCTCAGCCTTCTGCTCGACACCCTCAAGTCGGTGCTTAATATCTGATATGCTCATTGTTTGCTAACCGAGCTGGGTCGGCCTGCGAATTTCAGAAGAGCCTACCCAGGCTGCAGCGAGCTCAACCTTATTGAATGTATCTTGATAGCAAGCTCTGGCCATCTTTTGGTTCCCCTTAAGCACTCCTATCCCCTGAGGAGTTGGGAACTTCATGCAGAGATGAGGTTGCGAGATGTCAACCTTCAACTCGCAGAGGGGGCTTTTCCTAGTATGGCATTGAAAGCTGATTCCATCTTGACGACCAGAAGGCTAACTGAAGCTATCTTAAAGCCTTGTTCCGAGCCCACATAGATGGAAAGAGTAATTACTCCTTCAACCGAGATGGGTTGATTATCGAACCCATATATGGGCCTTTCATACTTCTGCAGTGAGCTCGGATTCAGCTGCATCGTCTGAAAGCAACTCTAACACAGAATATCTGGTGAACTATCAGTATCGATAAAGACCTTGTTGACGTTATGAATGCCTATATGGATCGTTGCCAAAAAAAGATCTGCATAAGGCATCATAACGTCAAGCTCTCCTTCCGCTCGCTTATAATCTGCCAAGCTAAATGTAATGGGTGCATTCTCCCATTCTGCCTCCTCAAATGGCTGCTTCAAGGGCTTGTTCTTGTTAACGGTCATCACCTGACGGGCATACGCCTTTCGGCCCCGAGCGCTTTGGCCCCTTGAGTGTATACCACCCGAGATCATGTTTATTGTGCCAAAGGGTGGGGGTATCCCAGCATAGCCTACCCCTTTCCTATCTTTTTGGTTTTGGGTGGCAGTTCTCTGTCTTTGGCCTCACCTATTGAACTGACGTCTCCTGTATGCTCTGCCCTGTTCGGAAAGGTATTGGTTATCCTGATACATGTCCTGGCTACTGCAGAGCTGATACCTCTGCCCTTGAGGTCGATCATACCTCTACCCTTGAGGTCAGTCATACCTCTGCACAAAGTGAGTTTGAGTTGGCTGCTGGGCATAAGGTTTTTGGACATATCCTTCTAATTTTCCATTGCGAGCTAAGAATTCCCGCTTGTCCTTCAAGTGTTGACAGCCTTCTGTATTGTGGCCGTATGCATGATGGTAGTCACAATGTTTGCTCTTGTCTGCTCTTGAGGGATCATGCAGTGGGGGAGGTGGTTTCTTGATCAAGTGCCGGATTTGTGCCAAGATTGGAGACCTCGGTAAGGTCAAAGGAATGTAGTTGGCATATTTTGGGAAGTCGGATGGCTTTCCCCACTGCTCGTTAACTTTCTGTTTTTTCCTTTCTTCTCTTTGCTGTGGTTATTCGTGGATTTTGCCTTGTCTATCATCAACTCGTCGCTTGGACGATTGGAAGTCTTTTGACAGTATGAAGCTAGCTGACCTGTCATTTACTTCGTTCCACGTCTTCGATGGGATTTCTAGTAGGTAGTCCAGGAATCGACCACGCTTCAAACCATGCAGCAAGACAGATAAGCAGATAGTATCGGGGACATTATCAATGTCTAAAGTGGCCTTCTTAAATTGTTGCATGTAGTCCCTCAGAGATTCCCCTTTTTTCTGATGAACCTGCATCAATTCGGTTGCTGTGCGCTTAATCTCTCTTTGGCTCGCAAATTTGTTAGAAAATAACTTGGCGAGTTGGGAGTATGAATCTATAGAGTGTTTGGGGAGTTTATGATACCATCTTCTGGCCGTTCACTTCAGTGTCGCTGGAAAGACTCTGCACATCATGGCGTCATTGGCATTTTGGATTCTCATGATAGCCTGATATGTATGCAAATGCTTGTCTGGGTCGCCCGAGCCATCGTATGTCTCTAGGTGGGGGATTTTGAATCCTTCTTGATATGGTTCTGATGTGATGGATAGGTTGAGCGGGGCATTATCCAAGTCAAGGGTCTATTGGTGTGACCTGGGGCTTTTGAGCTCGTCAATGGATTTTTATACATCTTGTAGCTGCCTTTCGAGATCAGCATTCTTTCTCATCAGTTATTCACTATGTTTGGATGAGCTAGGCTCATTATTTAACTTCCCACTTCCCCTTTGTTTGGTTGGCACTACTATATTGCTAAGAGCGGGAGAGTTGCGAGTTGCAACTACTACAGCTGGTTGCGCATCCTTATTTAGCAAAGGAATTAGGGGGACATCAGGGATCAGACGGGCAAGGATTTTACCTATTGCCATTTCGAGAACTCTTGTTCTCTCTTCAAGCTCGGTTGTCCGAGCAAGCTCTGTTGACCCTTCAGGTCGTTCGTGTTGTGAATTGCCTTGCCTGGGATGCCTTCATCTCATTCCTGTTGGAATTTGGAATTGTTCAAGCTGAGTTGCATACCCAGTTAGTGTTCTCTCATCATCTGTTTCACTTAGTTGTTCTTGTTTTGCTCTTCAAACGAAAAGGTTTCTCGGCATTGGCCTAAGTTCATTCACGCCAAGCTCAGATAGCTGAGTGTCCTCCTACTCATCAATCTCGTTTCTCGGAGGGTGACTCCCGGTAAAGGTGCGAATCATTTTATCCTTCAGTTGGTTAAGCTACACAACTTCTTGTTCAATTTCCCACAGATGGCGCCAAATGTTTGGGCAGCATCGCGATCCAACACTATTGATATCTTCAGCTGCTCCCACACCTGAAATTCCCGAGGATGTTTCTTCGGGGAAAACACTCTAACGCTCAAGTAAGCAATATTCAATATTCTAGAAGGAGATACTCTCAAAGAGTAATTGCAAAGAGAGAGGCGTAGAAGTTAATCCCCTTCACCGGAGGTAGTTGAGGGGCATTTATAGCCCCAAATACTGACATGCGTCTAAACATGTAAGCATCTCATTGGCCCACGTGGCGTTGCCCATGTGGGTACACTTGTACTTGCTGTACTAGCGCTCCCTCACTTTGGGCCAATGGGAGGCAGTCTAAGCCGATTATGTATAGCTTAAGTTGAATGTTGGGCCTATTCCAACACCCTCCTCAGCTGTCCGTGATGTGTTCTTCTTTTCACCATCGGATTGTCTCTAAAAAAATAAAAATATGTAAATAGTTTTACTTATATGATGTAAGTTTGAAATTTTACTTTAAAAAATTACATTTTTTAAGTTAAATTAAAGGTTTATTTGGTATAATGGTTTACAATAGTAGTTAGTGGTTTTATTTAAAATATTAAAAATAAATATTTAATCATAAATTTATTTATTTTAAAACTGTTATTAATTATGTGTTTGAAAAAAATTTTTATTTAGTGGTTTAGAATTAGTTGATAGCAATTTGAGTTTAAACCACTAACGAATTAAAAAAATTACATATGATAGTTTTTTGTACCAAACTACTAACAAATTAAATTTTTAAAATTTTTTAAATAAATTTTTCTTTTTAATTTTTTAATTTTT